AGGACAACACAGACTCTGAGCTTTTCAGTAGCTGTTGGAGCAGTATCTCTCCATTCAGAGAGAGGTCTCCTCGTTGTGGGCAAGGACTGTTTGGCCTCGATGTTGTCCTGGAGACCAGTCTAGCTTCTCTAAGCTGCTGGGCAGGAGGTGGCAGGGTGCTTTGCACCAGTGACTGAAGCATCACCAGCTTATCAAGGTGCTTAATCCCTGTTGCAGTGGGTGTCAAGAAGACCCATGGGGCAGAGGGAGAGCACGGCTGAGATGGACACAGCAGTGGTGTCTCCAGCTCTGCTGGGAGGCTGAAAAGGCTTCTTGTCCCCATAGCTCTCCTGGCCCTCCTCTTTGACCTGAGAGCCCTGGTTGACATGATGTCCATCAGCACACTGCTGGCCTACTCACTGGTGGCTGGCTGTGTGCTGCTGCTCAGGTGAGACTGCTGGGGACAGGTGAGGAGGGCAGGGGACAGGCCTCCCTGAACTTCAGGTGTTGGCCATGCCACCACTGGCCTTGGTGCACTGCGTGCGTCTTGATATCCCACATCTGCTCCCCAGGTATTGGCCTGAACCCAGTGCTCAGGACACTGCTGCGGTGAAGGTCCCAGCTGTGCAGCTCTGGTGGGACCATCTCATCCGGCCGCCCCTGCATCCCACCCCGCGTTCCTCTGCTGCAGTGGCCTGGGCTCTGACAGCTGTAGGTACGATGGGAGTGATGGATACGATGGAGCTGGTGTGGGGGGACCCACAGGGGACATTGCTGGAGGGAAACATCCCGCTCCCTCCGCTTCCCAGGCTGGCTGGAGAGAAAAACTAAATCCACTGGGACAAGTTGCCCAGCCTTATCCCCTGGTCTTCCTTTATCACTCCCACCATGGCAGCGTGGGGTGCTGCACCCTGGGAGAGGGGTGGGCTCAGCCTGGGGAAGTGCTGCCCTGATGAGCTTGTGGTGGTCCCTTGGCAGCTGCCCTGGTCTGCACCGTGAGCTGGGTGAGTGCTGCTGGGATGCCCTGCCTCCAGGCTGCGGGCGCCTGGTGCATCGTTGCTCTGGCTCTGCCTCTCCTGGGGATCTTGGTAGCAGCTCTGCTCATCTGGAGGCAGCCTCGGAGCCAGGAGAGAGCATCCTTCATGGTGAGCACACAGCCCAGCCCTTGGGGACCGTCCCCGGGGAGAAGGACCTGGGGGATGGAGAGGAGGCAAGTGCCACAGCCCCGTGGGGAAAGGGTTACGTGTCACTGGGGGATGTTCCCTCTGCTGTAGGTCAGGCCGACCTTTGCTGCATCCATGTTGAACAAAGCACTGCTGGAGGCGTTGGGCAGCTCCCAGGGTTTTCTGTAGGGACCATGAGGGCTGTCTGGTTCTTCCCCCCATGCCTTGCAGGCCAAAAGGGCACATCCTGTGGCCTCAGCTGAGTCCAGTGCCTGCTGCATGGACCAGAGCAAAAAAGAAACCTGGTTCTGACACCCTGGATTGGTTTTGCTAGTGGTTTCCTGCCTCCCCCTTAAATCCTGCAGCACCTCCTGCCCTGCTGCAGGACCTGTCAACCAAACTGCCCTCCATGAGCATCCCTCTTCAGCACAAGCTGTGGTCCCAGCTCAGGTCTCTGAGCCTCACAGCGAGGCTGGGCTTCTCCCTCACCTGTTGGCAACTAGCCAAAGCAGCAAAGAGCCCGGTTTGGCTGTGAAACCCCTGCCTGTGAGCCAGCCAATGCCTCTGGGCGAAGGCACGACCCCATTCTCTTGTGCCTGGTCCCTGCAGGTTCCCTGCCTGCCCTTCTTGCCGCTCCTCAGCATCACCATCAACAGCATCCTGATGGCTCGGCTCAGCACGGCTGCCTGGCTGCGGTACCTGCTCTGGATGGCCATCGGTGAGCCTGGGGTCCCAGAGCCAGTGTCGGCATCTGCCTCTGTGGGTGAAGCATCGGTGCTCTGGGAGCCCGTGGTGTTACTGCTGGCTGCAGAGCAGGGGTGGGTGGATGGAGGAGGGATGCTGAACTTGAATGTCAAAGGGTGGTGGGAGCACCCTGTCCTCTGATTGTGGCCCAAAGGAATGGGAAGGGGTGAGCACTTTGTGCTTGGGAGGGGAGGGAAGAGATATACCCAGCCCCCATTCTGCCCATTCCCAGGTTTCCTCATTTACTTTGGCTATGGGATCTGGCACAGTGCTGAGAGCCACCAGCCCAAAGGGGCAGCTCTCCGGGAGCCGCCGGGACACACAGCCACGGAGGTGGCCCTGGAGCCCTGCGGGACAGCACGGTGCCCGTCTGCTCCAGGGCAGTAAAAGGAGATGGGCTGATACCTGACCACCTGGCTCCTTCCACCCTGTGCCTGGGGCTGAAGGTGCCATCCCTCAGAGGGGCACAGCCCTGCCACGAGCTGCGGCTGTTTTCTCCCAAGTCTGGTGAACCTCCCCGGGAAACCTGAATCCTCATGGAGGGCCCCTACCGAAGGAGCTGTGTTTGGAGAGGATAAAGCTGACAAGTGGCTTTGCTTTCGTTACTGGGTTGTGGAGGTGTTTTTTCACCTTTGAAACCTCTCCCTGCAGTTCCCCAACTTCCCCTGGCCCCTTTCCCACCCTGGCCCCCTCAGCTGCTTATGGTGGAGGCTCCTCATGCTGCCCCAACCCTCCATGCTGCCTTGGCACCCCAAGACATGCGGGACTGACCTGTGGGCATGTCCTTTTCCAGGCTTGTTTATTCCTCCTCCTCAGTTCCCAGCACTCTCCTTTCCTGGAGCTGGGCACATTCCGGCAGGTCCCACGCAGGGATCTGCCTTTGGGGCAGTGGGATGTGGTACCAGGTGCTCGGAGCAGGATGCCAGGTCCCACCAGCCTCATCTCCCTTTGTCCAGCCATCCAGCCCCCTTCCACCACAGCTAGGCAGGATTTGCTGGGGCAGCAACCTGGCCCATGCCCCCTGCTTTGGTGCTACAGCACCCACCGTGTCCCCCCCTCATCCCTGGGATTGCTGCACAAAGTTGGATGCTGCCCCACCACTGGTCCCCAAAGCTGTAGGGATGCATGGAGCAGTGGGTGCCCTGGGGGAACACTGCTCTGACACAATGGGCACCCCCATTTTCCACTCTGGAGTGGGTGCCTGGGTGACAGCTGGACCCTGTGTCTGTGTTGCTTTCCTGGCTGCCTTGTTCAGCTGATATTTTCCTGATAAGGATCAGTACAAAGGACGGAAGCAGCTGTTGCTGTGGCTCTGCTGGCTTGGCAGAGCTGGAGGGTTGAGGTCTGCCCTGTGCTGGGAGCCTATTGGAATGAATGAAATGAGGGAAGGTCCAGGAAAAGGGGAACTGGCAGCGGGGGCCTCCTCAGGGACTCCCTTGTTGTGGCTGCTCCCACCCCTCCCCATCCTCCCTCCTGCCCTGCTCTGCGATGTTCCCACATCTGTCCCCAAAACCACTGACATGAGATTCTTGAGGCTGCTGCTTCTTACAGACTTGTAATTGTTACAGTTGGTAGCATGTTGTCCTGGTGCACACACATGCACACCCCCAGGGAGGGGGGCAGGCCAGTGCCAGCCCCTGGAGCAGTGACTGTCCCACCACATTTGTGCACTCCAGTGGAAAGTGCTTGTGTGCATCCAGCCCTGACCTGCAGCTGTGCTGGCAGTGTCTTCCCCAATAGGGTTGTGCTGGCTCGGAGCAGGGAGGGATGGGACCTGCTGAAGCCTGGTCACCCTCGGGGGGGATGCTCTGCTCCCCAGATGTGCACCTCTGGGCGTGCAGCCTCTGCCCGGCTTTGGGGGAGAAGATGGGGCTGGTGGTGGTGCTGCTGGGCGGTGGGGGCAAGGAGGGCTTGGCATCTGTGTGGTGGTCAGTGGGACATGCTTGGGCAATCCTTGGAAGCTGTTTGCTGAAGATGGAGGAGGCAATGGGGAGAGGAGGGCTCTGTCCCTGCTCCCCAGGGAGTGAGGCAGGTCCCAGGTGGGAGAAGCCCTGCTTTCTCTGGAAATGCCAGGAGTGGGAGGCATCTGCTTGGAGCAGCCTAAGGAGGAGGCCAGGCCCCCACAGGGGG